TGAGGTTGGCCCTGAGTTCTTTGATGGTCTCTGCCTCTTTGCCACCTCCTCTTCCTTCCTCCCCCCTTTTCCTGTCTACCATCTCCGCCCCAAAGGCCTAGTTTGATTTTGTTTCCCACTAACTTGAGGTTGGCCCTGAGTTCTTTGATGGTCTCTGCCTCTTTGTCACCTCCTCTTCCTTCCTCCCCCCTTTTCCTGTCTACCATCTCCGCCTCAAATGCCTAGTTTTGATTTTGTTTCCCACTAACTTGAGGTTGGCCCTGAGTTCTTTGATGGTCTCTGTCTCTTTGTCACCTCCTCTTCCTTCCTCCCCCCTTTTCCTGTCAACCATCTCCGCCTCAAATGCCTAGTTTTGCTTTTGTTTCCCACTAACTTGAGGTTGGCCCTGAGTTCTTTGATGGTCTCCGCCTCTTTGCCTCCTTCTTTTTTCTCTTCCTTCCCTCGCTCCTTCTCCCTGTCCTTCTCCATCCGGGGGTCCCGCCTTTCGTCGTGGTGGGCGTTCATCTCCTCCCGTTGCTTCTGTAGCTGTTCCTTCTCGTGGCTGACCTCCCTCCGGTCAAGACTGCCGCTGCTGCTGCTGCTGGACGAGGAGCTGCTGCTACTGTGACTGTGGGAGGCCAACTCGCTCTTCAGCTGCAAACAGAAAAAAAAATCTATTTTTCACTTTTCTCTGATCTATAAATTCAATGCTGTGATCACTGATTGAAAACACTGCGTGCTGTGGTCATGAGACAGCAACTCGCACGTTACATTTTCGAACAAGTAAGAAAGTCTGACATTTCGTCCTAAAACATTCTTTCTCACACTTCTTGATTTTCAAAACAGATTTTACAAGGATTGCAATGCCAGGCCCTCTAACCATTTTGATGTGTAGTTTAAGTCAACGCAGCCAGCAAGCAGTTTCCATCCTCAGCAGCTAGGGCACATTTACGCACATCATCCGTACAATACCGCTTTTATGTGGAAGTTTCCAAGGGCACTGACCTTCATGACCTCAGCCTGGGTTTCTTTGAGTTTGTGCCTGTAGCGGTTGATCTCCCCCTTGAGTTGTGTGTTGTGACTCTGGTAGCTAGACACCAAATGCCGCAACTCTCGATTGATGGGCCCTTCGGAAAGATTCAAAACAAGAAACTGCCCACAAAATATTCTATTGCAAACTGCCTAGGCCCTGTTCATCTGTTGCCTTCGACAAAGATTCTCCTCAGATCGAAACATCGACCAATTCAATTTTTCCGATGTATAAATTCCAAGTCACTGTTGTCAGCACACAATTTTGGTACTTCACATCTATTAGAAACTCTGTTGTGAATATTCATTCAAACCTGACAAACAGAATTCCTGCAAGCTCACTGGTTGCTGGTCTACCAGGTCCCTGATGCGATTGGCCGAATTGAACTGACCTGCTTGTTCATTTGCTGCCAGATTCTGCTCAAATTCAATGCGCAACATCTCGTATTCCTTCCTCACTTGGGACAACGTGTCCTCCAGCTGGATGACCTCTGTTCTGAGCTTCTTCTGACAGTCCAGTTCGTCACTCTGCAATGGACAAAAACATCAGATCATCATTGACCCCTTCGTTACGGAGGACTGCTACTACCGCACCATTGTGTGAGCATTAGTGCATACCACACATACAGTCTATTCACCATGCAGCTGCTGGTTCAATGGGGATTGCTGCTGGAAAAAGCCCTCCATTCAGGGCATACCACAGCCCAGAAGTCGCGGTCAAAACAATCCCGCCGTGAAGGGGTTAAAAACCATTACAAATGCAAGTATCAACCACTTTCTTGGGCAGTTACATCCCACCGAACTCTTAACTTGTAATTGAGTCAATCTTACATTTTTTACCAATGAGTGCGTGCTATTTGTGAACTGATTATTTCTGGGTTCTTCTAGATCCCCATCTGCATCTCCATCATTCACTCCAGGCTTCAGTTTCATGAATATAATCCCCGTGCTGATACATTTTGGCTCACCGGAGGACTTTTTTTGCCAGAGAAATATGAAATGGGCTAATGCAAGTCCAAGGCCTGGAATATTTACATTTAGTTCAAGCTTCGTGGTTGAAATTGTTCGACGATCCTGAGATGATACTGAAACCTCAGACAAAGTCAGGATTTTGGAAAATACTGGCCTCATATTTTCATGACGACTTACTATGGCCTTCACGGAAGTAACACAGCATTCCAACAACATCATAAAAATTCCGTGCAAGGGTTTTTACCTCCATCTGTTCAATCTGCCTCAGGTGGGTTCCCTTCGTCTGTTGGAGAAGGTTCCTCGTCTCCTCAAACTGCGCCTTCATGTCCTGGGCCTCCTTGTACAGAACCGAGAACTGCGACTGGAGGTTCTTGTAGGGCGCCCTCTCCATGACGATAGAGTCGGGCAGGCGTTGGAGCTGCAAGGACGGAGAGAATTGAGAGCATCAGTGAATTCAAGCAAGTTTTATTTTTGGGACTGTTTTAGAAGTAAAATATAAGGAGAGAGGCTTCTGATTGTGAAAAGCAAATGGAGCAAAGGACAGCTTGGCTTACATCCATCTTGACTTGCTCGGATTCCTTGACCAGTTCTTGGTACTTCTCTTGAAGTTTTTCCAGCTCCACTAGTCGGCTTGTCGCCAACTCCTTGTGCTCTTCTAGTTCATTGACTAGCGTCTGGAGCTAAAAACAAACATGCACACAGTCAACAATTACTCCGTACATACAGAGAATAGACTTTTAACACCAACCTCTAGAAATTGTGCAAAAGAAACACCATACGCAATACCACGAGTCAAATCTCTTGTCTAGGGTGGGGCATTTTAAAACCATTTCCACCATGCTGATGCAAGAGACGTTTCTTACTTGTTTGGAAGAAAGACCGGCTGACCCATCCCCAAAGATGTGACCCGGGATGAGCGTGGCATTCTTGAGCTTGGTGTAGCTCTCCTCTAGGAGGATCTCTAGTTTCATGGTCCGCTGCCGAGCCTGGGTCAGGTCAAAGCGTAGGTCATCAATCTGGTTGTTGGCTTCGGCCAGCTTGGTCTCGGCTGCTCCCAGCTTATCGCTCTGCTCCGTGAACTGAAATTGAAATGTTGGAAGATTGGCTTTTAATTTCATCCTGATTTATCAAGAGATCTCATCTGTTGCGGAAATTTAGGAAATACACTGCTAGTCTTATGAAGATCAGTAGTTTCTCGTGGAGAGAAGAACCATCAAGGAAAGTCTTACCTGGAATGCAACAAAAGCACCAAAAGGGTTCATCAGTGATTCAGGGGTTTTATTATACCATTAACCCTTAAATTCCTGAACCCTATCAACACATGCTTCGTCAAGTTTTTAGGATTCAGCACACGCTCACGCTTGCTCACCATTAAACTTTCTAAAGCTTGACAACTTTACCATGGTACGAAAATGAATTTGGGTGAAACTAAAAGTATGCACAAGTTGATTTGGAAGTATCTAGTATCCCGGAACTGTACATATTGGTGGCAATTTTTAAGGATTTGGAGAGGTATTGGAAGATCAGGTTGGGGAGGAGGCTACTTTAGTTGGGAGACGTTTGTGTACCTGTAGAGTCATCTTCTGGTGCCTTTCTTGCAGAGAGTTGATAGTTTCTTGGAGTCGATCATTCTCACTGGTCAGTTCAGCATTAACTGCTTTCACTGCCTCATCGATGTCACCTCATGACGAGCGCACACAAAGAAACAAGTTTGCTTGTAAAACTAATGTTACAATACAAGATATGTCAACGCTAGTATTAAGAGCAGACACTGTTGACAACCATACAATCAAATAGAGCACTCAATGGAAGAATGCAATTTGATGCAAAGCGCTGGTTTGTAGATTTGTTAGATAAGTAACCATGAACACAACATCAAATACGGAGTTACTTCCAATACATCTGTTCTGCTCCGAGTGCATAATCTTGGGATGACACATGGGCTTCTACCTGAGATAACTTCAACGGGAAACAATGAGCAACAACAAAGGGTTTACCAAAATTAAGGGGCAGAG